AGGGCTGATCTTCCTCACATACACACAAAAAATTCACCTAGGGGGGCCAGCCTGGTAGCGTAGTGGTTAAGTTCATGCACTCTGCTTAGGCGGCCTGGCGTTTGCAGGTTCGGATCCCGCGCACGGACCTACACACCGTTCATCAAGCCATGCTGTGGCAGTGTCCCACATACAAAATAGAGGAAGATTAGCACAGATGTCAGCTCAGGGACAATCTTCCTCAAGCAGAAAAAGGAAGACTGGCAACAGATGCTAGCTGTTGAATCTTCCTCACCAACAAACAAACAAACAAACAAACAAAAAATTCATTTAGTGAATTATAAAGTACTCCCTGCACGCAACCCGATAAATTCCATTGAACGAATGAAAGCACACACGATGGCTTCCCCATTGGCCATTCCCATCTCCAACACATATCTCCATCACCACTGCTGCCTCCCTTCTGCCACTCCCCTGGGAAGTAGCAGGAAGCTTTTTTCAATTTTAAAAATGTCGTTTTTCAAGTCATACTGTAACATTATCAATTGACAGGAATACGCCCTTGCACAACGCTTTACAGTTTACGAAGTAATTTCAAACATAAGCTCTAATTAATTAGGTCTTGACATCAACATTAGACAGTTTATATACTTTTAACCCCATTTTATACATGAGAAAACTGAAGCTGTGAGAAATTAAGGGACTTGCCCTAGGCCATTGCTCTGGAAACGTCAGAGCCAATCTAGATCTTCTGATTACAAGTTTACATTCCTTCTGATGGAACTTGGAGAATAACTCCCCCCTCATCCTTCCCAACTCCAAAAAGGGAAGAAAGAGATAGCAGGACTTTCACAGGTTTTATATCAATCCCATGACATTCTGTGACAGACTGATATAAGCATGGGTCAGTCTGGGTCTCGGTCCTAGAGGACAGTATTTGCAGAGAGGGGAAAACATCCAACTGCTGTTTTGACTGTTCTACTCACTCAGCTGGAGAGAAAAGAGGGAGGAAAAATGTCCTTGGCTGGTGTGGAGAGAATTGTGCCAGTAAATCTGGTGGATGCTCCAACTTGCCAAAGACGTCCCCTGAGGTGCATTAACACCACGACCCTGAACCCGAGAGGTGCCGAACACTTAGAAACACTGCTGACTTTCTGGCAACTTCTGAAAGCAAGATTGTGTTTCTACTTACTGAAGTGTGGGTGGGACAGTTGAAGATGGAACCAGAGAGCGAGAGGATTTCACTGCTGAGGATCGAGTTGAATGTCTCCCTGGTGTGCATCACAAAAGTTGCCCTACATAAGATTTTCCTCCTGTTCCTTAACCTCCAGATCAACTCTGGAGTCCCGGAGTCACGTGACGCTCTAAGATAAAGTGAGGACCCTCAGTGAAGAGAATGAAACATGCCCTTCACAAGCCGAGGCTAGATCCACTGTTCAAGCTTACTGGAAGCTTAGAGAAGAGCAGCATAATCAGTGGAAACGACAAGAATGCGCTCAAGTTCTTCCAGGATTTATAATCTAAGATACGGCATGTAACACAAGAAAGGCATGCAACGTGCAATGTTCAGGGTCGTTCATAACGGTCTCAGAACATGTGAAGCATTCATGTGTACTGATTAACAAAAGTCTAACACCTATTTCTACCAGAATAAAACGATGACCTGAACAGCTCCTCTGATCCCTCCTAAGATTAAAGACCACACAGGAAAAATACAGACTGCTTCTGACATAACAAGATATATTTATCCTGCATAGGATAGACAATATGATGCTCGCCTTCACCAGAAAAGGGAATTTTTAGCTTTTCTTTTTTTTGAAGAAAAGACAAGCATTGGTCAATAATTCTTCATCTAACTGAGATCTTCAATTCACAACTACTTCAATCAATCCAGAGTACGTAAAAATTTCTCAAGGAGCGTCATAAAATGTAAATCATGAAGCTGACAAAAAAGGAAATTAAAATTAAGTTCTAAACCAACTAGCTAATTTAACTTAGCTCCGACGTGGTCCATTTCAAAGTGGGCAGGGGACAAAATCAGAAAGAGCAAGGTGTTGAAAAGTGCAAGGGACATCAGATCTAACTTCTAAATTCGGCTACACAGCAGCTCAGCAATCTGGAACAATTCTTTTCCTCCCCTAAAGCTTTTGACTCTCCCTCAGAGCAACATAGCACGCCCACCTTTTGTTATCTAAGAGGCTAGGGTGATTAAAGGGAAAGAGAAAAGGAATTCTCCCCAAGATCAACATCTGACCACCAGAAATAGGACTGCCTTCACGCTGAAACAATTCTCCATGGTCCTATTGTTCTATTTTTTTTTTTGCAAATGCTGGAAAATCTAATTCCAGGGAAACATTAATAGCTTCATTATGTGACCGTAGGGCTAACAAGTTACATAGCTAAAGAGTTTGGGAGCTAAACTAGAAAGGTATTTTTGGAATAAGATCCAATCTCTTGATATAAATCTATTGTTACCAAGGACGTAGTGGTATAGGCAAAACTCCCACAAAACGGGGAACCAAAGGGCAGATCCTAAAAAGATTTCATTTAGACTATGCTAAGGTGTGACTCAGGCTTGGAAGACTCAGGCTTACACTTAGTGGGTCCAGTTCAATAGAAAGTGGGTGCCAGTACAGATGAACGGGGGAAAACTAGGTCCTTGGAACCATGTTGGGGGCAAAATACAGATGATCCCGGACTTACGATTGTTTCACTTACAATTTTTCTGCTTTACGATGGTGTGAAAGTGATATGTATTGAGTAGAAACCATACTTCGAATTTTGAATTATGGTCTTTTCCTGGGCCAGCGATATGCGGTACTCTCTCATGATGCTGGGCAGCGGCAGCGAGCGCAGCTCCCGTCAGCCACGTGATCATGACGGTGAACAACTGATACACTTACAACCATGCTATACCCATCCAACCATTCTGTTTTTCACTTTCAGTACAGTATTCAATAAACTACGTGAGATATTCGAAACTTTATTACAAAACAGGGTTTGTGTTAGATGATTTTGCCCAACTGTAGGCTAATGTAAGTGTTCTGAGCACGTTTAAGGTAGGCCAGGCTAAGTAGGATGCTCGGTAGGTTAGGGGTAGGAAATGCATTTTCCACTTACAATATTTTCAACTTAACAATGGGTTTATCGGAACATAACCCTATCATAAGTCAATGAAGATCTGTATGGGACAAGCGTTCAGAAAATTCTGGCAAGCCATGGAGGAGGGGTTAGAGGCGTCTAGATTGCTGTCAATAGGGTAGGCCTAAGGAAGGCATCTCTTGATAATGTCAAGGAAGTAAGAATAAACAATTTTCCTTAGTTGGACATACCTGTCCATCATGAGAACAGTTTCTGTGCAAAGAACATGAAGAAGGCCTCTAGGTGCCAGGGAGCCCCGGGCAGAAGATAAGGAGGTTTGGAAGAACAAGGCAGCTACCCTAGGGCAACCCACCAGACAAGAGAAAGATACTTCCCCCGAGACCATCACATATGAGTAAAAAGAAGGGAGCCACATAACATGTGCAAATTAGTTCATTAACCCATAAAAGAAGTCCTTGTCCCATGGATACCCACATGCCCACATCAGACCTCTCTCCAGCAGTCTGCCACACTGCTACCCTGGCCCCTGGCCCCTCAACACGTTAACCACAACGCTGCTCAGAACAAGCCTAACCTGTTGTCTTTAGCTTAGAGGAAACCACAAAGAAAGGAAGGAGAAGATGGTTGAACAAAACCAGTCAAAACCAGCTGAAGGCAACGTGGCAGTCTGACTTGACCTGACATAGACCCCACAGCTCATTATATGCTCATTGTAATATATTACCATATTATAGAACACACCCACCAATACCATGACAATTTTTAACTGCCATGGCAATGGCAGGATACAACCAAATAAGGAGAGAAAAGAGGTGGCACCCTTGCTCCCCAGAAAAGCCTTCCCATTTCCCCAAATAACTATGAATATTCCTCCCCTTCATTATCTAGACCCCTTATAATAGCTGCTTAATCACCCCAGGAGCTGAGAAGGAGATCTGTGAACTCAGTTCCCGCTTCTCTATTCTTTGGCCATTGAATAAAGCTTGTGCTGTTGAATGTTCAGCTTTGGTTTCATTTCAAATCCACGAAACTGAACAGGAAAGACCTCTCCAAAGAAGGGACAGATCGTGGGTGTGAGGCCCACCCGTGGGGCCCCCTCGGAGCTCCTCCGAGTGTGGGTCAGAGTCCCACAAGAGTGAGGTGAAACTGGTAACAACATTGCCCTAAAACCATCTCAGACGGGGGACTGGGTGTGATGGGCCACTGCCTCATCCCAGCTCGACTGTGGCAATGCCATCGCTTTGGGAAAGTGATCTTAAATTTTGAATCCTCAAAATTTCCCTGCAACTCTGGCATCTGCCCCAGATTGGAAGATCCCTTTTATATTTTCATACCCTAAAATTCTCCTGACCCTTGCATTCCACAACCACCGTGGCCACCTGCACATCTATGTCTTAACAGCTAAGAATCACAGAAGTGTTAGCTATGATAATTATTTCATTTCCTTGAGGACTTTCTCTTTCCTCTTAGAAAATTCCTTCGGGCCCTATGCTATCAATAACAATAATAGTCATAAAGCCTCACATGCATTGAGTGCTTACTCTGTCAAGTACTATGCTAAGGGCTTTACATATTCACATTTGTTGCATAGTTAAATCACACTGCATCAGCCCTATGATGTAGATACTAATAATGTTTCCATTTTACAGAAGAGGAAACTGAGGCATGGTGTGCCCACCTTCATCTCATCTTGTTCCCTCACTTTGTGAGGAATCCTGTGCCACATAGTAAAGCCTTGGGGCTGCAAAGTTTATGAGCAGTGATTTTCAATTGCTTCGAGGGAGGGAGAGAGGCAAGGAGGATAATACTCTTTGCCTGGGCTTTTGGAAGAGTATTCTTGACTCCTTTGATCACAAAATTCATACAAGATATAGCTGTTCTATTATTTTGCTGCGGCACAGGGTACAGCCAATTCTTACCCTATTGTCTTCCTGGATCTCCCAGTCACTGGAGAAAGTCACCAGTTGCTGCCCTTGGGAACAGTTCGAAAACTGGAAAAGGCTGGAAAACATCCTCCTGTTCTCTTGAGTGTCAGGAAATATGGCGTCTTGGAAATTGACTCCATGAGGCAAGAGGTTATAATTTTCATCCATCCTAATGGAAAAGGGGAAAAAAATAGAGATGTAGACTGGACACCATGGGGTATACCAGATTTAACCAAGAGTCATGGAAGACTGCAACAGTCTTGCCAATTACACAACGTCTTGTACAGCTTTCATTAGAAGAGTTACTATTTCTAATTGTTTCTCTGCCTTACACTACATGAGTCTATTCTCAAGGTTTTCAAAAAGTTGAGTTTGGGTGATGGGACCGGGGGAGTGTGTGCATGGGTGTGTTTGTCTACTTGTATATCTCCCAACGGCCCTTCCTTCTCATAGAGTGTTCCTTGTTTCTTGATGAAAGGAAGGCCAGTTGTAATGACCCAGGTTCAAACCCTGCCATTGCTACTTATCTTCTGTCTGACATGAAATGAATTTCTTCAATTCCCTAAACGTCTCTAAGCTTCAGTATTCCAAACTGTAAAAAGGATGATAATAGCATCTTACTTCTTGGCGGTGGTGTAAGGGTTGCATTAGAAAAAGTAAATGAAGTGTCTGGCACAGAGTGAGTGCAGTATAAATATTAGTGAACATTTTTATAGAGCCAAGCGTCAATTGCCTGTTGGAAAGATAAAGAAGTCACGAAAAGGAAGAGGAGAGATGGGAGTCAAACTCCAGCCCAGAAGGGGCATATAGGGCTCACCAGCAGGTCTCCACTGCCACTTTCTCCTGTGACACTGACCAGAATCTGTTCTCGTCTCAGTAGGTCCCAGAATAACAGAGGAGGAATGATTTGTATGCAGTTGTTAACACACTTCAGGGCAACACAGCCCTGTGAAATGGAAATCTGTCAGACTATTGTTTGACTCTGTAATTCTGCCCTAACTTTTTGTAAATATGTCAGAGCGAAAGATGAAAGAGTTGGCTGACCACCATAGAACCAGTGGACAAAACTGTATTTCATAATAAAATCGGGGGGGGGGGGAGAGTCTGCTCAAGAACACCCGTTCTTTTTTCTTTGGAAAATAAAGTTTCATTGTTGAATAGTTTTAGAGCTGGGCTCTCAGTGTTTTTCCTAAATAAAAACATGAAAAATCTGAGTTAAGTTTCTCTGTATCAAGAAGGGTAGCGTCTCTCACTCCTTGCTGACTTTATTTAGAAACTAAACTTCCCCAGCAATTAAAAAAAATTCAGCTTAATCTAGCTAAACCACTCAAGCCAACACAAAGCACACCACATAGTCTAAACTTAGATATTCTGGCTTCAACATGGAAAACATGTGTTGCCGTGAGCTTATGAACGCCCCTCTGTGGAACTTGCTATTTTCTTTCTCAGAGTGACATGAAATCTCAAGAGCGATAAGTGAATCTGCAGACGCAGGTCATGGTCATTCCAAACATCCTTACTGCTCCTTCACAGATTGGAAAGACTGGAACTACCACCAATCGCAATCTTGCATGAATTCATTCAAATTCACTCTATTGCTATACATGTTAGATTCCATTTTGATGTTTCTCTTCCTTGCTCTGGATCACCATTCTAATTCCACTGGAGACAACCCATGCATTTAGGGTTCCACCTGCTGTTCTCTATTTCAAACTTCAATTGAACCCACTGACTGAATTCTTATGCACACGCATTCCATCTTGACCACAGGCCAACTTTCATGGAACTTCACATAATTCGAGTAGTCTCCAATCAGAGATGGCCTCCTGCCTGATTCACCTCTACACTTCCAAGCACTGTGACTCAGGGTCTTACCCCGAGCAGGACCCCCATAAACCCTTGCTATTTTGAATAGCCTGGCTTTGAGGTCTGTAGGCAGCTGATATGAGACTGTTACAAGTGACACAAGGACAGCTGGGCTGCATTCCACACCATTCGCATCTTGACATTTAAGCAGGTGGGGAGAAGATAGCGTGACTATTCGTTCTGCATCTAACCTGTACCAGGTGTTGTGCCTGAGTTACTGTATTTGTCTTAACCAACCTTGTTTCCCACATTATGAAGGTGAGAATATTGAAGTTCTTGAGAAGGTCAGTAACTTGCTCAAAATCACAGTTAGGAAGAGCAGAGCCAGAATTCCAACAACAGTCTGATTTCAAAGTTGGGTGTTTTTTTTGACCACCATCCCAAGCTACTCCCACTGAATCCAGTTTCAAACAAAAAGCAAAGGATGAGTCAAATGGATTGTTGGAACCACCTTGAGTTTTTGCCTGAAACACTCCTCTGCGCATTACAGCACCGGAGTCACCCCTGTTCTTTCAACAGCCTTAGCCAGAGGTACCCAGGATCTTTGTGGAGACGGCAGACGGGGCAGGAGAGAATAGAGTGAGGGAAGGAGCCCAAGGCGTATTCGAATATGACACGGACAGGATGCCGTGGGAGGTCCTGACCTGCCTCCAGAGAATGGTGACCTTGGCGCAAACAGACCGAGGGGGTGGTGCAGCCGAGAGGTGCCGGGCTCACCTGAGGAAGAAGAAATAGGAGTAATCCTGGACCACGGTGTGGGAGTGACACGAGAAGTAGCCCAGGCCGGTGAGGTTGAGCCTGGAGCCCGCGGGCACTTCGAGCATGCTGCCCCATGCCTGGTCGCACAGCATCTCGATCTCGGCCGAGTAGAAGAGCCCCGCGTCGCTGGCCTCGTACTGCCACGGCAGGTAGTTGTACAGGCCGTGCACCTCCTGGTGCAGCGCCAGCACCTTGGCGTACACGATGATCTCGGCCAGCTCGGCGCGGCAGCCCTCGCTCAGGGGTCTCCACTCCGACGGCAGCTGGCAGCCGCGGGTGGGCTCGAGCCGGCCGGCCAGGCAGAGCGCGGCGAGCAGCAGCGGGCGCAGC